CCTGCAACCATACATTCCACTGGGTTTGCTATGGTTTGCTCCTAGTACATTTTAGATATTTTAGGAACTTACGTCATGTTGAGCTGTGCTCCCATGAAATGGAATCCATCCGACGAAGCCCTCGGGCCCGGACATGGCCCCTCATAGCTTGGTGCCCTAAGTTTTTTGCATCACCTATATGAACTTCAAACATTGCACTCATCACGAAATACCTCTGCACATGAACAAAGGACTGGCCCTGCTCCAAGGATCGAAGGTGTGGGAAGTCAATTTGAGGTGACCTTCCTGGCAACACAAACAAGGATAACATTTACGGTGTACATGCAATAAACGGACTCGTTCAGGGGCACCCTCTGGTGAATGTGCGTGTACATTTCCTCACTGCATATAGATACACCGCAATGATAAAATGGTATACCTTCAAGCATGCATGGCTCATGTTGCAAAATGCACCTCTTCTCCGCCCATGCTGACTGCTAGCCCCGCCACTCTGCGCACGCATCTGCTTCATAGCGGGAGCCTCCAGCGTCTGCTGCGCCTGCAAAGCCCTCTGATACTGCTGAAACTGGAGCAGCTGCTGCTGCTGCTGAAGGTCGTACTGCGACATGCGGGACATCTGCTGCAGCCTCAGCTGGGCATGTCGACCAAGTCACCAAACCATGGCATGTGCATGTCGAGAAGAGCGGGGAGTCATCAGCTGGACTCAAAGCTGATTGGTGCTTCAAGAGCTTCATTCCAATCAAAACGGCACGCAAGCTAACTACTCTCAGAATTGTTCGTACGTATGTTTTCACTGTTTGCATGTAGAATGTAGAAATGTGTGCCTTTAACTTTAACTGCTATTAAAAGAATGTGTATATAGTAATACAAACCTAAACCAATATTAATATAATGCATATCATTTCATATCATTTGTTTGATTTATTTTCGAAAGCGTCTCCAACCCAAAGAACAACACTCTGACGCACGCCTTGCCGCCCCCCAAAGAACGCAAACACTTGCGGAAAGGGCATCAAAGTCGGGTTCAACAGCTTCGTACCCTACTGGTTGGTTAACCAGAGTCTGTTCATTCTTTTCTGACCGCATTTTGCGTCTTGGTGTATTTGATGCCTTAGCCCTGGCGTGCCAAACCTAGCAGCTGAAGTTGCTGGATCTGCTGCAACTGATGCGCCATGTGATCCCCCAGTTGCTCCTGCTACGGCCATGCGCCGACTCGTGACACGGCTGCACGGCTCACCCCGAGAGGTGTCAAACCTTGGGGATCAATTGAGATGACTCATCAACCCCGTTGGCCTTGGTCCGTTTTCAGGCTGCTGGGCATTTCCTTGGTGACTCCTCACCCATGGAGGCGAGCATAGTCAGTTGCTGACGCTTCTGCTGCGTTTTTAGGCGCAGTCAGCTCCAGATTATGGTTGAAATGGGCCGTTGGAGACGTCAATCATTTGGTACCCGGTGGGCCTCTCAAAGCCAGTGGGGCTGCCCTGCCCTCATTTCACAAGAAAATGACCAAACACACCTTACTCTTACCGTGCCCAATCGATCCGATCGCCATCTGCAGGCCGACTGATCACCCACAAATACCTCTCAAGAACTGATCAAGAAGCATTGGGAACACAATCGATCGACCTCGCGTGGCTGCCATCCATGTTAGCATTTATGTCCCACTGGCTGTCCCACCACCCCGCCCTCCCCCGGTGGCTCACCCGGCTCTCGGTGTCCCACTCGAAGTCCAGGGTGCTGGAGCGTGCCGGCTCCTGACGGATAGGCGGATCCAGCTGCGATCATTCGCGCATATAGGCATTTCATAATGTTTCCGTCATAGTCTAGACTGCAGGAGTCTGCAAGTAAACAATGATCAAGTTCAGCGGTGTTTAGACTTGAGGGCTGACTGTGTTTCTCCGGTCCATGCTGCGAGTCCTTCTTGACTGTTGGATCACTGCATCGATTGTGGGGCGATGCGAGCCCTCAAGATCTATAGCAATTCAATATCGTTGTCCTCCAAGTCCTGCCCAAATCTAGTTGACCATAACCGCCAACCCTTCACACATGCGCTGGAACAAAACCCATCGATTTACCTCGTTCTTCAGACCGACCACAGGCCGACCACACCTACGAAGACACCGGAAGCCACCGCCGGGCCGGAAGCCGCCGCGGAGTGTCCTTCGGATCCGTCGAAGGTTCGCCCTTCTTCTTTCGGCCCGCATGGAGGTGGCAGAAGTCCTCAGTGCAGCAGAAGTCCCACATGTCGCAAGGGAGGTGTCCTGAATTCGTTTCCCATGTCAACATGAATTCCATCCAAAATAAGTTTGAATTTGTAAAGAACACTTACCTTCAGGGGCTGGGAGATTGGCATGTATAAAATACTTTTCCAGCCTCATGCCCATTCCCCTCCTTTCCCTCACCAGCCAGCCCACCCTGCAATCCGCCAACAGTGCCCTGCCAGTCCCTCCAAGGCGCACACAGCCAAGCCTTCTTGCAGCGGCCGGGCACACGCTCGAACATGCACGGCCTGGCGTTTGGCCGCGCGGCCACAGAACGATGCGGAGCTGATCACTCGGTCGGAGCAAATCTGGCGGTGAAAGGAGATTGCTGAATGTCTTCTGCATAGTTCAAATTGATTTGCATAGGTCTTCCGGCATTGAGCGGCAAGGGATCAGGGACTGATTGTCCAACCAAACGTTTGGCAACCACTGGCTCAGGTGGCTCACTCTTGATGCACTTGATCAGCAAGATTGGTACAGTAAATCAAAAGTACTCAAACAGGTCGAGCAAGCAATCGGTAAAAATATACAAAAGGGCAGACCAAGAATCAGAGCTACACAATTACACAGTAGAAGTTGCAATACAGTAGCACCAGGCGCGGCAACTCGGGCCTAGAACCTCACTTACATCACCTCTCGCTTGCCAAAGCTCGCCCCTTCTCACAGTCGGGCCCACTCAAAAAATTACACAGCAATGAGCAGGTCCCAAAACCCCCGACTAAATGTTGAAGGCCAATGTTCGACGCAACGAAGTTCGCCAATTACACCAGCATTGACCCCAAACAGCAGCGGCAGTCGGAGTTTTCCTTTTGGGCCGACCCATTCCTGGCGCCAAGTCTCCGCCCAGCATCCAGACACGCCATGGGAGGGAAGACGAAGGAAGACAAAGCAAAACCATCTCAGCCCAGTATCCAGACATGCTATGGGAGACAAGGGGAGACAAAGGGAGACAAAGCAAGATCATCCCAGCCCAGCATCCAGACATGCCATGGGAGACAAGGGGAGACAAGGAGAGACAAGGCAAAGTGATCTCAGCCCAGCATCCAGACAGACAAGGGGAGACAAGGGGAGACAAAGGGCGGAAATCATCTTGGCCCAGCATCGTTTCTATGCAAGAATTGAGAACCCCTCACAGCAAAGCTGTTTGGGCAAAAAAGAGGTCAAATCGCATCCCCTTCCCATGGCCATCCGTTCCAAACTGGTCCAGTTTGGCCCGGACATGCCTGCAAGGTGCTTCCGTCTGGCAGCTGTGCAACAAGGAGCCAAAGGAGCGCACCTGAAGGGACGTACGCACAGCTCGCACAGGGAGGTTGGGGAGATCCCTTCCACTCCCTGAAATCATCATGGAAGTGGACGTCATGGTCCCGAAAGGAGGACCATGTTCCGAAGACCAAAGAGGTGGGAACCACTTCCATCTGAATGACACCCTTCAGGGCAACCACCTGGCTTTTGCCCCAAACTACGCCAAGCCCTAGGGGCTATACTTCCCGCTTCGAGAAGGGCCCAGGGCTGGCACTATGCCAGCCCTGGACTCAAGAGGCGAACCGTCCAAAAGAAAAAGGCCCCTCGGTGTCCACTCGGGTGTCGTGATGGGCGCAACATGCTGAGTCTGAAAACCCCCGCTCCACCTGGACACCTTCCCCCCCATCTCTCTCCCTCGAGAGCATCACTCCGCCTGCAGCTGGGGCCGGTCCTGCGCCTTCAAGCGCAGCACGTCTGAGACCTCAGCGCCATCGATCCAAGAGGTCGCTCCCTTCCGCAGCTGTGGATCCAGGAGCCGGTTTTGAGTCCCATCGAGTGAGTGGATGTTCTGGGCACCCCTTTGTGACTCCTGGACGTGTTGTTCTGTTTCTCCGCTAGGCCTAGGCGAAAAGCCCCGAAAGAAAAAACAAAAACCTCCCGTGCCCTGTGAAAGACATTGAAGGACATCACATCCGAATTGAAGGACCATTGAAGGACAGTTGAAGAGTCCAGGCATCACATGGAGAAGGTGAACTGAACCTTGCGAAGTAGGTTTTGGGGTCTGAGATTATTCTGCCCTGGCCCATCATCCATCAAAACATATCAAAACATTGAAACATCGACTGCCGTCAGTTGACAGCATTGAACGCACTGAAGCAGAGCCGGCCAATCTGAATCCGCTAGACTTGGTCCGCCGAGTCCGCTGTTTCAGCACTGAAAGCCCAGCGCAACGAATGGGCGCCCGCGCTGAGAGATGGCTGGAGCGGCTTTGCACAGCCAAGTGCTGCTCGTCGATCCAAACGTTCTGTTTTCAAAGCCCGAGGTCGCGAGCTTGGGCAGGTCGTGATGAGGGAAAAAAGATCAGGTGATGAGAAGATGACCCGCCCCAAGCGAGAAAATGCACATCTACAATTCGATAAACCACCTGAAGCCTTAAACCTTCACTGATTCAGTGGTTGCTCCTGCTTGAGGAGGCCGTCAAACCAGCCAAAAGCAAAATGGGAGGTGGGGAACATTGGGAAATATTGGGAAATCACCTGGAGTCTTCAGCAAAGCTAAGGTGGACCAACGACTGACTGACCACCTCAAAGTCTACGCATTTCATGGTTTGAAGTGGTGGGGGATTTGTTATCGACTGCTGCTGTCAGGGGGGGATCTCGACCCTCCAGCTCTCAACTGTCAGCTTGATCCTCTCTGCACCCTCCAGCCTCGAAGGACAACGGCAGAACCTGAGCGAACTCGCAGCTTCCACCGACGGAAACGCGGACGGCCACCTCTGATGGTGGTCCCAGGATCAGAACTCACATGTGCCCGATCCAAACATGGGCGCAACAACTTGTTGGACCAAACACGGCAGATCCAGCGCTCCTTGGGCCCCGTGGCAGCGTGCTGGGTGGGGCCCACCACGATCTCCACCTCCTCTGCTTGGAACTGCAGCTCCGCCTAGGAACTGCAGGGGTCGAGTTCATGGCTCGGAGCCGCAGGACGTTCATGGCACGGTCCAGGAACGCCAGCTCTTTCTATTGTATAGTTTAAGGAACCGCAACTGGCCGTCTCTCAACAAAGGTTAGGTGCAAAACGCAACTCAAGCACTGAACGCAAAAGAAATGTCAACAATTGGAAAGGCGCTAGGAAAGGGCAAAGTTATCCAAAAAGACAGACTTAAGGAATTCAGGTGTTGTAACTACCTGTGGGCCTGTGGGTCACGAAACCGCATATCGTCATAGCGGTTCAATCATTTGCATATATATATATACATCATTGATCATCATTGTGCATATATAACACATACACATGTGTCTGTACATAGATCTTATTTCTATAGTCATACGAATTGCATGCATACATCTTGGTTTGAGAGCATGTTCTTGCACGTGGCTGGCTTGCCATCCAGCCTGCTTGATGTCCAGAATTCCTGTCGTTTTCCCCCTCTTGTCCCACCGAAGGAAAGACCTCCTCTCTCCGCTGAAGACTTGGCCTCGGAATCGACCGGGGTGACCTCCAGCGAGAGCTCCTGCATGCTCTTCGGGCCTAGGGCAGCGCTCGAGCGACGAAAGTGAAGACAGCGCAGGCCCATCCGTCGTCCCCGAAAAAGACCGTCCGTGCTTTCGGTCGCGGTAGGTTGGTAGCAAGTGCAAGAAAGTACCCAGGATCTGCCAAGAGTCTGACAGAAAACTGCTGATCTTGGTTTTCATTGTTTTTCAAGGACGCCAGCAGCTAGGATGAGCTACAAGGCCTCCTCCGCCAGACCTCCTGAGAGAAATTTGATGAAAAGTTACCGAAGCCACCCCATCAAAGACCACATGCCAAGATCACATGGAAACAAGACCACAAATATTCCAAGGAAACAAGACCACATGCCAAGATCCCCCTCCACATGAACCGTGCTGTGACATGTCGTAGCTTGCCCTGTTCCAAACAAGAAACGACACCTATCCCCCTTCTACTTTTGCATGTGCATTCTGCTTTTGCCGGACTTGTAGCAGACTTTTCCCAGCAGCCCTTCTGGGCAAATCCTGGCAGGCTGACATGTTCCCATCATTCCACCGCATCCCTCAGTCAAGACACTGCTTGGGCTCACTACCTGTGGCGCGCTCCGCTCCACGCCCTGCGAGCCCTGATGGCCTTGCCGCTCGCCTCGCTCCGCTGCGGAGGCGATGCGCCGGAGTGCCTTCGAAGGAGGCCTCAGTCCGCTGGAGCAGGACACGGGGAGGATTTTCAATGATTCTTGTTGAAGGATGCCCCTTGACCAGACGACTGGAGGCTTTTCGCAGGAAAGAACCTGAAGGCGATGTCCGACCGGCTCCGGCTCTCTAAAGATGCCAAAGCGCTAAAAACGCCCGGCTCTCAATCCCATGGAGGTCGGTCCAGTCTCTTTTTAAAAAGTGAAGGCGGACGTTTCTTTTCTGGATGTTTGTGTGTTTTTCCGCGTCTTTTGGGGGAAAGTATTTTTCCGGTAGGGCTTTTCAAACGGTGTCATTAGAGAATGAGAAGCAACATATATATATATATAGCATTTCTCCACCCGTCTCTGTCCTCCTTTCCCTTTGAATTGGTATAGGG